CCAGTGCTGGTGCTGGGGGCGAGCTGCTGCAGCAGGTGACGGAGCCCGCTGGTGTGTGGCAGGACAGGCAGGATGCTCGCAGGATAAACCCCGTGGCGTGGTCTAGATGGGGTTAAGAGCACCCAGCCACGGCCGCTGCAGTTTCACAGAAAACAACGTTATTTAATGTAAATAAAGCTAATTTAGGAAGCGAAGCGTTTGCGAGGAGGGCTGGAGATGGCTCGACCAGGCTCCAACAAACAGCGGGGCTGAGGAAGCCGCCGGAGCTGCCAGCACCACGCACACAGGCCAAGCCAAACAGCCCACACTCATGGCAGGGAAGTGAGCGGCTCCTTGAAGCAAGGCAGAAGCCGACTTACTTAAAATGAACAAATAAATAAAATACCATAGATCATGGATGCAGACAGCGAGAAAACGAGCCGCGTATGAGGCAAAGGCTGGGGACACCTGTTGCGTCTGCCATGGAAAATGGGGGCACGAGAAGCAGGAATAGCACAAGGTGCAGTACTGCAGCCATATAAATGCAGCAGATGGGACTATGGCACAGAGGAACAGGACAGCTCCTGCAGATTGTAGAAAGAAAGGAGGTAAGAAGCCATGCTCACCCTTTTTCCCTCAGAATAAAGGAGGGAGTCTCAGACAGGACACAGCCGCAGCAGGCTGGAATACCAAAGCCTTAGGAGATGATAAAAGCAGAATTACCAAACTGGTGAGAGCGGCACTGATGCTCCAGGGAGACTCACAGGTCTACCCAGCAGTTTTTGGATTGTCTGAAGCAATCCCACATTTTACAGACTGAAGCACATTGCCCGGCGTAGGGAATTTAAATCCTTCGTTGTTCTGAGGCATCCTCGGAGAGAGCTGATTTACTTAGCAGCAACGCTCCCCCAGATATAACCCCGGTACCCCAAAGCATAGGGGACTCTCCCCAAACCATACCAAAGCCTGGTGCTGCCCTGGCACGGGGAGGTTTCTCAGGCACCCAGTGGTGCCAGGGAGCTCTGACCAAGACCAGTGGACAGACCTGGTTTCCTTCGCCCTTCTGCTGTGCATACCTGTGCTTTGGACGCTGCTTGTAGTTGTATTTTTTATTTTTTTAAGCTCCCAGAAATCATTCAGAAGTGAGCTTGGAAGCAGAACAAGAGATGAGCTCAGACTGCAAAGGCCCAAAGCTGGAGGTGTATTTTGGCTGGGCTGATTAAAGGCGCCGACTGCGAACGTCTCAGATCATAAAAAGCAGAAGTATGCGAGGACCAGGTTCGCACCTGTTTCAACCCAAGGCATTACGTGGGTCTTTCCTTAGATCTCACACCACATGAAATGAGGCAGCGCATTTCCTCTTCTGGAAAGCCCTTCTCAGCTCTTACTGCAAGCCTGAAAATAGCAACCGAATTGGGAAGTGGCTGGAAAAGGGAAAAACTCTTCCTCCACATCTGCCTCAACTTGCAGGTGAGCGACGTAAGGCAGAGCCTTTGTGCGGCTGTGCCAGATCGCCCGATGCTAACCACACGCAGAAATGCAAAATGCATCTCCAGAAGACAACGTGACTCCTCTGCCAAGCCCCCAGCACGGGGAGATGCTGAGCAGGGCACAGCTCGGTGGTATCTGAGCCATCCCCATGCAGCCTGGCTCAGAAGGGAGAAGGTGTGGTGCGGGAGCACATGCTGCGCTGGCACACGTCCATGCCAACCTGTCACCGTGAAGTGTGTGCACACAGGGATGGCACAAGGGTTTCTCTCTAGTGATGATATATCCTCTGCCTGGCCCCAAAATGTCCCGCGCCGTCTGACCACCCTGCCAGGAGACCCGAACCGATCACCTTGAAGCGACAACTCAGCACCCCTCGGAGCTCTTTGCTGAACGAGCAGCTTCAGCTTCCCACCAGCTCCTCTCCTCACACAAAGGCAGCGTCTGCCCATCCAAACCAGGGCTCGGCCAGGTTTTAGGCAACTTGTGCTGCTTCATAACAACCTGCAGATCCGCGTGTCAGAAGCCCAGATAGGAAGATAACACGCTCCCAGTCCTACTTACACACAGCGCAGAAATGCGGAGGAACAGGGGTGGGTTGGAACAGCCAGCGGGAGCGGCTGGAAGCAGGGCCCCCTCGGGTCCCTCGTTCCCACAAGCTGCACCTCCAAGCAATTTCATCTAATCCTGCACACCCTGCTCTTGCCTGGCTCAGTGTCACTCACACCTGCAATAAAGGAAAGCAGTGCAAGCTCCCCAGATACCACGGGCTTTGCAGCAGGAAAAAAAAAAAAAAACCACCAACCCAGTCTGCAGAGCAATGGCTGGGAGTGACCTCCCCTCTAAGCCTGCTCAGCGCTTGAGATTCACTTTTATGATGTTGACACAAGGTTTTAAAGCATAGGGGGATTGCTACACATCCTCCCTGCTTGCCAGCAACGCTCCCTGGCACCAGCCTTGCTCCCTCGGAGCCAGCCTGGGGAAGGCGAGGAGCAGAAGGAGGTAGCAGAGGAGGTCCCCAATGCACCAGCTTCATCCAAGCATCGGCCTCGTTGGTGCTTTCTCCCTCCCCAACAACTTGTTCAGCTACAAATAAATAAATAAATGAATAAATAAACTTTCCTGCCTCCAGCACTCGCTCGCAGGAGCAATGCTTGCTGTGTGGCACTTAGGAAAGAGGAAAAAACACACTCCTGCTGGAGAGCCCACTCCAAAAAGGGTAGCGCCTGTCAGCAGCACGCAGGCTGCCCGCAGCTCCCGGGTTTCTTGGCAGGGAGGCAGTGCCCTGTCTGTTACAACTTGTTTTGGATGACAACAAGCCACATTTCAGGGGAGGAGGGCTGTGCCCATCTTCGACTCACATCAGCCTGCTTGTTTTTCCTCCCTCAGCTGTAAACATGTTTGTTTAGGATTCCTATAAATACCTACTGGGCAGCAGACCAGCCACATAGGCTCAATTAAAAAACATAAAAATAATAAAGAAAGAAAGGAAAAGAAATATGCAAGCCTCACAACAATAGAAGCACCCTCCTGCCCATAAGGTATGAGTCTTGCCAGTCGGGTTTCCAGGGAAGAGCCTGTAGGAAAACCTTCACGCAATCACTTTGCAAGGAAAAATGATTTTTTTTTTCCTTTTTGTACCAGCCTGACTGCTCCTTTCAGCAGCACCTTCCTAGGAAAGGTGTGTCCCTCGTGTCACTCACTTTCACCCACCCCTGCCCAATCCATCCCAAGCCAGCAGCCAGGGAAGGGCCTGGATCAACCCAGGAGCTGCACGAGCACAAACCCTGCAGCTCAGCCAGTTCCTCAGCCCTTGAATTTGAGGTGACAGCACAAGGAACCTCCCGGCCACAGCCTCTTCCAGCAGGTGGTGATACTCTAATAAGTGGTACCCACTGGCTTCTGTGGCGCTGTATGTTCTGCGAGGCCCTTTATTCTCCTGCAGCCAAGCTTATCTGCATGCTGAGCCTCGCTGCACAGCAGAGCTGCACATACATGAAGGAAGAACAGCCAGGGACACGGTTTCTGAGCACGGCTTAGGCTAACGTCTATTTGGGATTTGCTTCCCCTGCCCCACAGCCACCCAGTGGGGGAGAGGAGCAAAATGCTGGGGAGGAATGGCCGTGCCTGAAGAAAGAAAAAACCCACTTGCTGCTCCTTTCACAGGCTATCCGGCGGTGCCTTTTTGGGAGGTGAGAAGAAAGCTCAGCTGCAGACACAGGAGATGGAAACAGATCTGCTTTAGCTCCCTTCCAAGCCCAACAGCTTTCTGTCCCCAGAGGAAGGAGCTTCTTAGTCTTATGCCTGGAAAAATTACCGAGCAAACAGCCTTTGTATTCTGCCAGCAGTAACTGGGGAGGCTGTTGCATCAGATGAGTGGGGACGGCAGCCCTTGCTTGGTCCCCAGCTGAGACTTACCGTAGGGTTCCCACCTGGGACACAAGAAGGAAAACAAAAACAAGAGGGAAAAAGGAATTAATTGCTCTGAGAATCACCCCTCAGCTCTGTGGGATCTCCAGAAAGAGCCCCCACGTGGAGCCCCAAATGCAGCCACCCCAGTCCCAGGAGAAGAAAGCGCTGCTTGGCTTAACAGCCAAAAGAAATCAAACGCTGTTTGTTTTTCATTCCAACTTCTGATTTCTCTTAAAACAGGCTTTTGGAGGTATGGGGTAAGAGCGAGGGTGGGGAGGGGCACGGCTTAACCCCCCTCCTGCTGGCACTTTCCAGGACGCTCCCCAGGAGCCCAGGATGCCAAATGCCCGGGGCAGAGCATCAGCTCTGGGTGTGCACAGGCTCTCCCGTGCCATGGAGCCTCCTGCTCGAGGGCTTCACCCCTCCAGCCTCGCCAGCAGCCCCTGCGTGCGGCCACCGGCGACGTCTCTGGTGGCTTTGGGAGCGTCTGGAGCTTTGATTCAACTTCAACGCCGTGCTCGGGCTGGTAGGGACCGCAGCCGTGTCACTGTTTCCAGCCTCAGCCTTAAACCGGACGATTTTTTTTATAACAAAGATGTAAAAATAACTCCTGCCTGGAAGCGGGGAGGAAGGCTCCAGCTCACAGCACAACCCGCGGGCATCCCCTCTGCCCGCTGCTCCCCGTCCCTGTCCCAGTGCAGCTGCACGCACCTGTCTCGGCCCCTCTCCCCCCCATAACCACCGCTTAGATATCCCAGATATTTAAAGCTTAATACTTTTAAAGCTGTCCCTAGGGATCTCTGGGGTGCAGCAGGGGCCACAGAGGACGTCCCGCCGAGCGGGCTCTGCTCTCCCCTAGCAAAGCAGCCAGCCCCCCGGCACTGCTGCCCCAATATTCCTGCCTTTAACCTCCAGATCTCGCCCCAGCTGCAGCTGCGGTCCCGCTGAGGACTTTGTGAGCGGGCAGCGGCTGCGGGAGCTCCTTGCCTTGAGCCGGAGCTTTGCAGCCCACGGCCCCGAGCCACCGCCGCCGCTCCCCCCCCCCACACCCCACAAAGCCCCCGGGGCCGCCCCGCTGCCGCAGCCCGGCACCCCCAACCCTCTCCCCGGGGGTCACTCACTGCGGTCCGGGGCCGCCCCCCCGCCGGGGGCTGCCAGCAGCTCCAGGTAGGCGGCCCACAGCCCCAGCGCCAGCGCGCCCAGGGCCAGCAGCAGCCGCAGCAGCCGCCGCCGCCTCAGCCGCGCCAGCAGCCGGCCCCGCATGGCGCCGCTCAGGGCGCCGGGCCCCCGCCGCCACCGGCCATGCTCCCCTCGGCTCCCCTCGCCTCGGCCCGGCCCCGTTTCCCGTCCTCGGGGCGGGCCCAGGTGCGGGGCGGCGCCGCGGCCCCGCTGGGGGCAGCTCCCGGGCTCTGGGCTCGGGCTCGGGCTCCGCCGCCGCCCCCCGCACCTGGGCCCGCCCGCACGGGGTCGGGCCGCGGGCGGAGAAAAGCCGGGCTCGGGGGGCAGCCCCCGGGGGGGGAGGCTGAGGGGCTCGTCCCCGGTGTCCAGGCAGCACCCTGAGAGCCTGCGGGCACCCGAACTGCCCGGGGAGGAGAGCTGTCCCCCTTCAGAGCATCCCACAGAGCCACCTCCCTCCAGCTCCCCGCTGGAAAGATTTCCCTTCATGCCAAAAAAGCCAATTCCAAAAAAGTTTGGTATCTCGTTGTGACCTTTCCTAAGCCAGAAACCAACCCTGCGGTGCCAGAGGCAGGTTTCCTCACTGCCCTCTCTGCCCACAGGCTGCCTCAGCCTCCCCGAGGACCAGGTCCGGCCTGACACTTTCGAGGACACCACGCTGGCGTTCCTCGAGGCTGCACGTGGCCCTGCTCCAAGCCTGAATTTGCCAACACACAGCGAGACTTCCTCGGTGCTGCGAGCACGCAGCCACCCCCAGCACCCAGACAACAAAAACACCTCGGAGCTGGGCACCCGGGGCAGGCACCGTGAGGCAGAAATCTCCTCCAAAGGTAGGGCAGTCCCTGTTGGCTTTTTCTTTTTCCAGGCACGAGAGATGAAACAAGCTTTTCATATTCATTCAAGAAGAAAATAGTACAAAAATATGTAGTAAATACACATCTAAGTTAAACTTTATTATTTGAAGATTGAGAATCGAGTGATGTGTGGATTGAATGATAGAGCCACGCTGTAATGAAGACGCTAAAGCTGTCTCTGGAGTAAAAGCTTAAGGAAACAAAGGTGGTGTTGGCGTCTGTCACAATACTGAGGAGCTGAATGAACCTGGATGTAATGTAATGAGGAATCTGTCTAGCCTACACTGCACTTACATTATTTCAGACTACTTATTCATCACAGAAAGCACTGATACCCAGGGGGTAAGATCATCACTTCCAGCACTGTCTTAAAAATACCTCACTTAAAATGTTTTTATCCTCAGTCTGCTGGAGTGTCCCGAGGCACGCAGACCGTGTCCGCAGACCTCCCCGCCTCTCATCCCAGTGACCAGCCCTAAACATCAGACAGATTGCTGCCTGCTGCGGGATGTAGCTGCTCTACCCTACCCTGAGTGCCCTCTTCAAAGAGGGTATTCAAGCTGATGATTTGCCAAATGAGCCAACTGGAGCATTTTTTTTTTTGCTTTGTTTGGGGTTTTGTTTGTTTTCTATTTTGGTTAAGTTTCCTCATGATAAAAGCAGCCTTTGATATGAGTGCTGCACTTAACGACTGGCATCTTCTGTTCCTCTCTGGCTACATCCCTGTGCATCCCTGCCTCTTTCTGTTATGCTTGTGCTTCTAGTTATCTAACAACTGTTTCTCTGTTCTCTAAATTACTTTTAGCTCTGTGCCAACATCCTTCCTCTGCAGACTCCCCAAAGGTTCAATTATCTGCCTCTTGCTTCTTCCCTTTTCTTCATCTTGTGTAATTTTCATCTTCACGCTAATTACCAGCTCCACACCAAATACACCCAACTGTCCCTAGCTGCTGCTAACCCTGGCGACTCCAGAGCCTTCTTCCTGACTTTAGCCATGCTCTCAAGCACAAACAACGGCTTCATCTCGACATTAATTGCAATGGCTCAAAGGCAGAAGTGCTTCTAACAGGAAAAGGCAGTCTCCAAAAATACCATTGCCCATTCTTTCCCTTTTTGGCTTCTCAGGACTGGATTCTGAAAAGCGTTACTGGCGGAGCTATCCCCGTACCCATCCACTGATGCTTCCAACACTCGTGTGACCGACCCGAGCCTGCCCTACAGGTGACTGCCCAGGTGATCGTTCCCTCAGCTCAGACTGACAGCAGCAGCATTGTCTTGCCACAACTCGGGTGGAAAATCTCATTCACGCTCCCATCTTTTCACAGCATCACTCCTTTTTCATAGGTCTCCAGCCCTAGCTGTCCAGAGCAAAATTACACAGAAGTGACCCGTCCTCCCTTTTCAGCTGTAAAGAGGACACGTTTTTCCATGAGCTTCACCTGGTACCTCTAGGAGCGCCTCCTTACTGCAGATCCTGCCCTGGGAATGGGCAGGAATTGCTTTCTGTGCTTCCAAACTCCCTCTCAATATCCACAGCACATTTACACTTCCAGAAAAAAAAATAATAATAAGTTTTTAACTAGTTCAAGATGAGATCTTTCAAAACACCTTTCAGGACATAGTTGTTTGCCACAATGAAAGATATATCTAAATCTGTGATCTTTTTAGAAATCCATATCTTTTTGAATCTGACTAAAATCTTGCCCGAACTTCCCCCTTCTTCTTAAAAGCAGCAGTTCTTGCTTTATATTTCAAGTGATGGCGCTCATCATGCCTATGTTTCAAGTAATTTTATTAGGGATAGCACTGAACACAAACCTGAACAGCTTTGCCCGTGATGACACCGACCAGACTTTTATCCACCTAAGCTCGCATTGAAGGAAAAAATGTTTAACTGGGCAGTGCAGGAGTGACTCTACTGAGCTAAGTGTTTACAGTGAAAGTAAGTCAAGTTGAACCCTAAATCAATACAGGTGAATTCAGCACATCCTGGATATGTTTCACCAGGGTAGATCCAGGTTTTTTATTAATTCATAGTGAACCTATTTCAACAATGAAACCCTTCATGCCTGAGTAATTTAGCATTTTCTTGCTTTGACATTGAAACACTACCGTGTAGAAAGCCTCTCTGGACTTTCTGAATAGAAGCAGGTAACGCATTTTTACTCAGTTGTAATTTGTCCACAATCCAAAAGCACTGCGATTTGTAAAGCACACAGTTTGGTCAGTATAAGTGAATACTCGATCCCATTGAGGGCTCTGTTTATAAAGTTGTGTTTGGAGCTTACTTGAAAGGCAGCCACGCTGACTCATATTCGAGACACCCATTCTCCAAACAGTTCACTTGGTGCTGCATGGGCAATAGCACAAGTCCTCCCCACCATTCTCAAACACTACGGCATGCCAGAAGCGTTTCCTTCCAGAAAGTTAAATTCCAGTTACTTCTGACGGCAAATTTCAAGGAGAAAGCCCTAAACAACTGATGCAACTTTAGAACTGAAACAAACTTCATTCTTTACACTGTGCCTAAATCTTATGAATACAGCAGTCCAAATGAATTGTTGCTCTTTCACCTCTCACACCCTTTGAATCTGAATGTTTTGGTATGCAATTCCAGGCCACATGCTAAAAATTTACTGCTACAGCTAGACTCACAAGTTTAAGAATACCTGTTTAGGGGGTTAAAGGGGATATGTCTTACAATTCAAAGCAATTTAGGAATATAAAAGCAAAATGTTGCAAAAAAGTAAAGAAAACTTAAATTGTCCCTTGTATACAAACAATCTATTATAGCACTTGGAATGGGGACAAAGTGACATCTTTATTAGGCTTCTGAGCAGGCATGAATACATTCCGGTATAACAGAATTACATGCATTTGTGAGCTGTAATTAGAAGTCTGAAAGACATAGATTGCCATGAATATGTATAGATCTAACAAAGTACACAGGGATATTGCCTCTAGCTAGTCTTAAAAAAATGTGGCTCATTATTTATCAAAGAATTACTTCCTGGCCTATGTACACACACAGTTCCAGTTTACGTTGTCCAGAGAGTCCATCCACACTGGCAAAATGTGTGCATTTCTGAACAAACACTTATGCAAGCAATTTGAGCACAGCTCCTGCATACAAGCATCTGTTCCTATTAGTTAGAGCCATTCTAATAGCTGTCAGAACTGTTGTTACAGTTAATTTGCCTAAGCACAGTCACAGCTTCAATTAATTTTGGAATTATTGCAAGTTGTGGTATAGGAAAAACATGAGGTTTTGTGGTGTGTTTCCCCCCTTGTGTAACCTTGCTGTGTAGTTTGAGTCAACACAGTATATATTCCTTCTTCTATTAAGCAGCTGCATGAGTGCCAGAAAACTCTTACTGATATTGCCTATGAAAAAAATCATAGGTTTAAAGGTAAAAGGGACCATTAAATAACTTCCTGTCATTTCACATTGTACTTTATTAAGTTCTAATGCGTCAAGCCTAGTAACTTATTAAAAGAAGCTATCTTTTCCAGAGGCGCAATCATTTTTTTTTGATTTTAAGATAGAGAAGGAAAATGTTCTCTCTCCTAAGTTTGTTATAATGAGGGAAAAAAAAAAACAAACTATTTCTGATTTAAAATGTATGCTTTTCTTGGTTGTATTTTTTTTTCTTTTATTAGGCTCTAGTTTTGGGCTACTGGTTTTTGCTCGGCCTCTTTTCGTTTGTGTTGTCGCAATACATGTATATTAATAATACATGTGTGTTAATCAGATCTAATGTAATACAACATGAGCTCTTGCACAACCTTTTCTCCTGCTGAATCATCTGTAGTTCTGTGCCTTGCCCAATATTTCAACATCCTTTCTGAAACGCATGCATTCCTTCCTTGCCTAAATAATGCTATACAATTAGTTTTCCCTTACCCCTCACGTTTCCCCTACACAAAAAACAATTTACCATCCTGTTGCACAATAAGAACGTTTGTCCAATTCCAACCTTTAATCCTTGCCAGTCTCTGTATTCCAAGAATCAGCCATTTTAGAGAGATGTTACCAATTCCTCGTACCTACGTATATAACATGGCATTTAGTTGTGTTGAAATGACACAAGTCACACATTATTATCTTCAATTAGCTAAAAACACTCATTCTTTAGACTGAATGACTTTTTTTTTTGTTGTTTTCTTCACAACAATTGTGGAAGAAAATTGACTAATATGGGGTCTTGGCACCTTTTTCAGGAAACCTTTAGAAAATGCCAATGGTGCTTTACTGTCATCTTAACGGCAGTTGTCAGTGGCAGAAAGCACTTGACTTTTTGAAGCAATTCTTGGCTGGAAGGTCCCAGTTTGTTTTGGCAACATGAAAGCAACATTTCACATGATCACGTGATGCCACAGAAAAAGCACGTACAATACCTTGCATTTCCTGCCCTTGGACATATATTCAACCTTCCAAATAAAATGGATTTACAGATCAGCACTACTGTAATTTTCTCCCCTCTTGTAATAGAAAGGGTTCATAACCTAATGACAAATGAAAAATAAAGTTCAAGATGCACTTTGATGTGGAAGCACCAGCAGAGTATATTGGGAATGTCACCATTTTATTCTGTTCAGTCTTGCAAGTTATAAGAAACATCAGTAAAGAAGACAGGAAATTAAACATTTACATCCTTCTTCCCCCAGTACTTCCTCCCAGTCTTACAAATGTGAATGTCCAAGCCTACAGCCTTTGTCCAGACACACTTTGTGGCTTTCAGGTGAGGAAAATCAAATTTCAACAGCAACTTCTAGCTTGGAAAAGTTGAAAATAAGCAGAAAACCATTTATTTCTACCAATTCAAGAGGCTTTTTTCCTAGCTACCCATCAGCTGAATTTAAGGAATGAGACTAAAGGATGGATTGCACAGTTTAATAATTTTCCTCAGCTGTCCACATAGTGTCAGCACCTAAGCTGTTCATCAATCCATCTCTGCACCATTTAGCATTTTCAGCTAAACCTGTCAGCGACAACACTTTCAAACAGCCTCTTGTAGTAGCAGTTGAACATCGAGGTACAGATTGTCAGCCACCCACATCGAAGTCTGTCTGTGATGAATCTGACTTCAAGAATAGATGTGCCCAATGAAAGGCAAAGAACAGGACCATAAGAGACAGCAAGCTTTTCACAGAGAGGTTACACAATTGAAACAAGCCCTGACTTTTCAAAGGAATTTCCCCACTGCATTGTTTTAGCTGGTACTATAAAAACATTTTTCCCCAAATCTTCACAGCACAGGAAAAGCAGTATATACACCTCTCCCAAATGCTGCGTCAGGATCTCCATAGCCACTACCACGTCCAAAAGAAACTGCCTGTTATTGCACACCAAGTAATTCTCAAATGGGAAGGAACTGCTGGTACCCTGTAAGTATAAACTTCAGAAAATTATTCTGCTTCCATCACATTTAACAAGTTAGGGAATGTACATTAGGAAATGAAGGCACTGAAATCACTTTTCCAACACAGATATGCTCTCCAAGGTGGACAAGATTTGCTGACGCTACAGTAAAAATACAAATACCCCACATTTATAAAAGTGGACTGAAGCCTCACTGCAGCCCTTTTCACAATTTCATCTGTTTTCAAGAACAGCATTGTCCTGATGATATGAAGATAATCGCTACATAGCTAGAGTTATATTTATCATGTAGCAACTAGGCACTGGCTTTTCCATCCCAGTTTCAGTTACAGTTCAGTGACAGCTGTACCACAAGCTGACCATGACCTGTTGGTGCATGGCCATGGTATAGTTTAAAGCTACAAAGGTAGATAATAGGAGATGCCTTTTATTATGAGCTTCCTCTGTGTGTTAAGATAAACCGGGAGAAAGGGGACAGGAAGATGAAATTAGATAGTGCAGTATTTCCCTCCCCTCCACACTTTCAAAGCAAGAGTGGAGGTTGCTTGTTCTTGCAGATGAGTTCTAAAAACAGTTACCTTTTCCCAACATATTAAAATCAGTCAGGTTTGTCCTGGCTGGGTTAGAAATGAACAAAGGGAAGACATTTTAAAATAGTTGTGATGTCAAGGGTAGAGTCAAATGTAAGCACTTCAGTATGTACTTTCTACACAAGGTCTTTTTCAAGGAAAATTTGCAGTCCCATGCTGAATTGCCTAGGCACCGTAACAGTAACCATTTAAAAGTTCCTTCTCACACAGGGTAAGGTGAACCAAGCAAACTGGATTTTGAACTAGATCCTTCAATGATCATTAATAATACATCTGGTTTGTCATCTGCTCCAAATAAAGTTTAAGACCAGTTTACATTGCCCCCTACACCACAGATACGAAGGCAGGAAGTCATAAACATATTCCTAATATAAGTCATCTGGTACTTTCTGTACCAGTCTTATCAGGTGCCATCTCAACTGAACAAGCAACCTAATTTGGCTTGTTAGAAATGGCTCGTAGACCACTGATGGATGTTATGACACTAACTGCAGATTTTCTCAAGCCTTCTGTCACTGGATGCCATTAAAGAGGCAATGTCCCCTTCCTCAAACTATGATGCCAGCTAAAACCTCAGCTTCAGCAGACCCGCAGTTCATTCTCTAAGCCATAGATTTTTGCTTTTAAGTTTTTTAGTTCTCCTTGAATTTTACGGGTTAGCCTGTTTCCTTGACGGACCTCACGTAGAACTTCAAGATCCTGGTCTGGCCCAAGAATCAGAGTCACCTAAAAAGGAACAGAGAAACAGATTAATACAAACAACATTGTACAGAACACAGTTTAGAGAGTACAGTGAGTCTGTCTGAAAGAGAACTCTAAAGGAGATGCTTTGTAGCTAGCAAAGAGGATGCTTAAGCTATCATCGCTGGGCTAATGCATATCACCAACAGAAAAGTATTCCAGAACCAAAAAAAACCCAACTGATGAAACTTTCAAACATTAGGGTGTTATAGTATTGGTGAGAAAGAAATCTGAACAGAATATTATCAAGTTTACCTATAACCTTTTGGGTTATTTTTACTTCCTGTATTATCTGGAGAGCCACAAAAGAGGTGAGTTAAAATACTAATCAACTTTTATATGGCTCTAAGTTTCTCTTCTGATAGGAAGACAGTTTATCATCTTTTGCTGTTAGAACTAGAAGTGGTCTAACTTCTGTGGCCAACCCACCGCCTTCTGAACTGCATACAATTCAAGAGCACTTCAAGTACAATTCCTAACCTCAGGCCAGGTCATATAGTTGATACTGAGCTGAACAGAAGCTGCCAGGTAATCATAGTTCCTGATGGCAAACTAGGAAGGGCTGCCATTTCCTGTCACCCTGGAACTGGATAGCGTGCTAGCCCGGTCACATTCAACATCACAGCAGCACAGACTTGGAAGCTGCTCTCAAAGCTCTTTTCTCTCGACCCCTCAGGGTGTCTCATTGTCATTGTGTAGTTCTTGGTCAGAGAGTTTAATATACCATTCAGGAAATGTAGTCATCTATAGTTATTTTCACTTAAGAAGTAAGAATTTAAGTATCACAAGGGAGACTTCTAACAAGCATTTTATTCTTCTGCCCTCTTGTGGCTGGAAGTGTAAAGAAGTTAAGAATACAATTAAGAACATACCCAGAGTAACACAATACACAGCTCTGAGTAAAGATAATCATAGGCAATTTTTACCCCATCCACATATGGTTGAAGTTTAGTCCTTAAAAAACAAAGTTAAACCCAGAGCCAAACAAAAAAAAATCCAAGCCTTTAGTGAAGACAAATGTATTAATCTAAATGAACTGAGCTGTGTGCCAAAAACACAGAAAACAAGCAAGTCTGTGGCGCTGCCAAATAGACAACTGAAAGAGTCAGTTGGACAAAAACAATGCCTAGTGATCCTCTCAAGCATATATTAGATAAATATCACATTGTAAACTCCAAAAAACATCAAGGCTGTGGCTTAAGGCCCGTCTAAGCTGTTCTGATATTCATCTGCACATCTAGAAGATGCATCTTATCTCAAAGTTACACAGCTTCAGCTTCAACTTCAAGCCATTGTTTCCGCTGTGATTTTTGCAGTTACAAATGAGACATTTAAAAAGGAATAACAGAATATTCACAATACTTAAGTCAGTATTCTACCTCTTACTGGAACAAAACCTAACGCAATGGCCCCCAGGAAAAAAAAAATCAACATATTCTTTGCAGAATATTCTTCTACAACAGACTATCAGTCCTGTCTTGGAATTTTGAGACAGCTCAGACAGCTGGAGGTATCAGGTAACTTTCAGAGCTGTAGTAAAAAGATATCGCTAATGTATAAACAGGACAGTCCCTGGACAAACTTGATGCTTGACTGCTTAACAATGACAAACCATTTTTGCTGAATAAAATACATAAGAGGGCAAACTTTATCAAGCATTAATATCTAAATGGCCATTTAGGAAAGTAATTATTTTCCTTAACTCTAGGGAAATACTGCATTTAAATACTGAGACTACACCTCTATTGGGTAAGGCCATAATGATCTGCTTCAGCAATGAGTTGTTACCTTAAACAGCTGCTTCTCTACGTCTTTCAGCTTCTGTCGAAGCTGTTTGATGTCATTATTAAAGCCTTCCACTTCCAAGTTACGACGTTTTTCCAAAGCCTCATATCGCTGAGTCATCAGCTTCAGGCGCTTCCCCATCTTTTCTGAGCGTTCCTATGGAGATGAAAACTCAGTGGGGTAGTAGAATAGAGGCTGAAAGATCATCACGTAGCTGGCTGATGATTACAGAATAATTACCTTAAAGAGTTCTCTGCCAACATCTCCCTCCTCACGAATCCTAGCCAGCTCACTTTCCAGGGTGATACACTGCTCTCTGTACATGTTTGAGAGCCGCTGCTCCTGCATCAGTTGCTCTTGCATTGACTAAGATGCAGAAGGAACAGAAAGAATTAACTGTAAAGCCAGTGCTCACGACATTTCCCCTGCTCTGGAAAATCAAGTGTGACAGATGGACAGTAAGGTTGGCAAATAACAATAACTGCAGCCAAGGTTAATGAAATAACTATGTAAGGACCCCTCCCACAATATTCTAGAGCCCCTTCCATCACCAACACATCTTAATTAGGTGATATGTTCTTCATGACAGTTCAAAGAACTCTCTCCACTTCCCCTTAAAAATAATAACCAACAATAGTGCTGTAGTTCCTGTTTTCTCAGCTGCTTGCCCAGTACTGCACTTCAGAACAATCTGCATTCAGTGGTAGATGAAAACAATTCCCTATTGTCTGTTTACTTTCTAAGTCCTTATTGCTTATTTACCCGCTTCAGATCTTCTCACTGGCAGCGTATTAGAAGTAGAAGAAATCCTGACTGCTGCAGAAGAGCTACGGGACACCAATTGAAAGGAGTTTATTCTCCCCTAACAACAGGGAGGAACAGACACCACATTCTAAGTCCATTAACTGGAAGCAGTTTATACTTAAACAAGGGCACGTGCAACAAGCAGGTTAAGAACTGTTGGCCCATGTACCATGTGATTTGCACTGGGCATAAGAGAAACCACTAGTAAAACACTACCATCAATATTAGCTATACCTTTTACCTGAAATTTAAAAACACCTGCAGCAGGAGAGTTGTGTTGTTGTTTTTTAAAAAAACACATCAGTGCCAGCAACAATGCAGCTTACAGCAAACGTGTATAGCTTGGCAACAACTAGCTACTGCCTATCTCATCAAGATCCAGATGCTTGCAGTTTTCCGAAGACTGTTAGAAAGACCTCTCCCCGTGACAAAAATTTACCTTTATTTCTCTACTGTGGAGTTTCCAAGCTTCATGACCTGTTTGAGGCATCTTCTTGGTATCTCTCTGCTTCTTCTCTTTTTCTGACTCCCTGCTGATAAGTTGATCTGGATCTTTGTCAAGTTTCCTCAACAGACTGTCTTTCTCTGCCATCCATGCTTTCTCATTGGCTCGGGCATCAGACTTGAGCTGGAGAAAGTCACGGGTACTCTCATATAAGAGATTCTGAGTCTTATGGAGTCTGTAAAAAGGGATCCCAGTGGAGTTAATTCATTTTTTTCCTAGTTCCTGTCCTAATTTCCTCAGTCTTCATTGCAAGTTGGAAGAAACATAAAACTTAGGTAGAGGTATTTTCCTAATACATTTAGTTCCTCTAACGGAAGAAGTGATGTTCTTTCTATGTGAAACCGTATTTTTGATATGTTGACTACCCTACCTCCTTCCACATACTGCCAAGCAGATGGCTGCATAATTTGCTTTTCTGCCTACTGCAGCAAGCAACATACTGAAAGCCAACATATTTTTGTTGCTCCCCCTCTTCTCATCTCATGACTACATTACATCATGGTTATTCTCTCACACTCACTTATCTGTTAAAGTTTTAATCTTGTCCTGGTCCCTCTGATGCTGGACCTGGGCTTCCTCCATGTGAATCCGCCTGTCCTCTAGTAATGCCTCAAGCTGTTCCTTGGATAATCGCGTCTGTTCTTCTAGCTGAGCTTGCAGGGCCTCCACCTGAATAGGCATGCAGAGACGTTACTGAGGAAGCTCTCACAGCAGGCCTGCTCCTGTCCTTGCAAGTCCCTTTTAAATTACAGAATTCAAGTCAAAGACTCTACCCAACAATAATTTCTAGAGTTTGAAATTCTCATTTTTTTGTTTTCATTTTAACATTGATTTTCTCAAATAACTAAAACATTTTAAGAAAAATATTCACGCCATAAGCAAGACAGGTATACTATACAGCAGGAAAAAAATAGAAACAACAGACAACAGAAGCAACAGATAGAAGATAATGGCAAGATTTAAACTGCACACAGGATGTAACAAATCCTGTGCAATATGCAAGCAGACTTTTCTCCCTCTGCTATCAACTTCCAATGGAATGGTGATAATTAAACCCAAATTCCAGGAAGGCAGCAATTCCTTTCATCTTGAAGAAAAGAAATTGCTCAGCTAGAATGAAGCATTAAATGCACATGAGATGAGTGAAGGAGAGAGATGCAAAGAGTCTTGACCTGGGTCAGGGAGACAAATTGGAACAAGTACTTGAAAAATGTAAGTATGTCCTATTATAAGGCACTTTTTGAAAAAACAAAACAAAACAAAACAACTTGACATGAATTTAGATTGCTTATTTTATGACAATTTTCTATGATGTTTTTACTCCAGAGTAAATGTTATTATGACAGGCAACTGCCCACTAGGTCAGCGACTACTGTTCTTGAATGAAAATCTTGATCTGCTGTACAAGTTTGCTATTTGCTTTTCTTGACTCATCCTTCCTCATGCTTTACATCTATTTTCTGCTACCTTCCCCAGTTCATGATTCTGTACATTTCGTCCCTTCACTCTGTCATGCTATCTATACTGTCTTTCACTGAAGTCTAGCACAGGGAACTTTTTTTGCTGTACTAGTGCATTTTATTGTGGAAGACTAATTCCATCTGAGACCCGTTCCTTTTGTCATACTTCCATGAACCACCCAAACCTGCAGATTTTCCATGGATTTAATGTAAATTGATAGCTGATCAAGGAAATTATGAGAGTTAACATCACTTAAAAATTCTGTATTTAAAAGCACCATATTCAAGTTGGCTTTACTGGAACATATGCTTATGTAAAGTTTCCAGAATCAGACCCAAGCTCTTAAATCTAAACCATTCATCACAAAGAAACAGTTAAGTAAACTGACAGAAAGTGGGAATCGTTAGTAAGATGTGGGACTAATAAACTGGTAGAATCTGTATCTTATGTAGGCAGACAGCACATTTGTCTACCAATTTCCTGGATAGCCAGAAAATATGTCCTTCAGTTAGTGAAAGATTTTACCTGAAGTAGGAGTGTTTGGTTGTCCCTCTGATACCTCTCAGGACTTTCTGGTTTCTCTCCTTTTGCTGCTCGTTTTGAAGAGCTCCTCTTGGTGCCTATTTGCAGAAATCAATGAGAAGTGGAAAAGTGTACTCCAGTCTAAGTGCAGTACCTTTCCAAACACGGCGTGCTGTATGCACTGGATGGCCTACAAGAACAGGAAAAAAATTGCAACTGCGACAGTCGCAAAGACTTCCAGAGGGCTACCTGGATGAAAAAAGCTTCAGAGCTTATGGCTCATAAACCTTTATCCCACACTATCACACCTCAATATTTAGGCAACCTACCTAGTGATTTTCTTGGCATATTCAGAAAGTGAACTTCACAGATTTTCTTAAGTAAAGGATGAATAGGCATACAACACAGCTGCACAAGCATCAAACCTTGAGTGAGTTTTGAGCTCAAAGGAGAAAATCCCTAAGTAGACATACAGACCCAAACTACTGTCTACACTAAAGACCGGCAGAACAGCACATCTTGGAATGGCTTTGGCTAAGAGTGCCCATCCAGTTCGTACCTGCAAGGGTCCAGAACAGCCATTTCACAGTCATACCAGCTGCTTCTTTAGCTGAGCAGATCAAGGACATGAGACTCAGCTCAGGTTATTTTAAAAGATTTTGAAGGGAAGCCTAGAGTACTGAATGCATAAGGATGCATTACTGAATGCATGGATACATTTAGGGAACTTAATGGAAGCATACCAAAGTACTCAAAGTACATAATTGTTTTGATAGACTGGACAAACACACAAGTATCAAGAGCTGAGCTGCTGTTAGACCCTTGTGGTACGGTACCTGTTCTAGAAGCATCATATCCTTCATGTGGATCTCTGGATTTATCTGGCCTTTGCAGAACAGTAACCTATAGAAACAAGATCACATATCTCAACATCTGACTTCTCTAAAGTTGCAGTAATCAAGAACAAATCTTAAAGATGAAAACAGATAAAGAAATCCAAGAGAACAGCAGTACCATACTTCTGTCACAAGAAAAAGAAGATATTCACAAGTTGAATGTACATGCTGAAAAAGTTGCCTTTGTAATGGCTAACTTGCCATTTCTGGCTCTTTCTTTTTCCCCCCCAAAAAAACAAGTGGAAAGTAATCCTGCCCTTGATGGCTTTGTTAGGATGAAAAACAGCACCCTTAACAGGAAATGGAGCATTTGGGGACAGACAAAAAGAGAGAAGGTGAAGGTGAAAATCTTCACCTTCTGATCTGTGGGTGTTCAGAAGGGAGCTGATGCTAACAAGACCTACCTTCAGTATGCCTAGTTCCCATTTAATATCTCAGCAGCTATACTAAATCCTGGTGTTGTTACAGAGCTACAGATCTCTCCCACTTTGGGCTTATTTAACAACTTTTGACATGTGGGACAGATCTGGTCTCTGGTCAGCCTCTCATGTACAGATCTTCATGTTGCAATTAAAAGCACAGTTCTGTAGAAAAAATGAACCTGCCTTATGTGGTGGCTCCTTGTGAAAATACGTTACTTCTCCTTTGTCTGTTCCCACTAAAGCCAGGAGGTGTTGAATTTTTTTCCTATCCTCCAGTTCCCTAGAATTCAAAGAAAGGTATCAGTGCATTACTATTTTTAAACACATCAAGATGTTGTGACACAGTCTTTCTAGTTTACTCATTAATGTCTCCAAATAATGTTTTCCAAACTGTTCAGCTCTTGAGAACACTTCTTTAAAAATGAACTCCCAAAGAAATTACTGACGTGGCATATTTACAAAGGAAAATACCAATTCTGTTGGCATTGGGAGGCATTCTTCTTTCCAAACATAACAATACTAGGTCGATAACACATGGTAGCAAAGAATTTGCATTCCAGAGTTATGAACTACCTAAAAACCTTGCAGATACTTCATTCAGTAGATTGTAAGCACGTCGTTTTTTAAAACAAACTAGATTAAGTGCTGTATCACACTTCTGTCACACTCCTGAGAAGTGCCACAACACATCAACACATTTTTTGACTTAAGATCTTAAAACTTGAACAGAAAACTTGGTATCACCCACACAAGTTCTTAAGAAGCTTGGAAACTCCTTTGCCACTGGCAGCCAGTCCCGTAGAGCAGTGTGTACTTCAATTCAACAGCTACATGGCAGTAGAATGGAGCGGCTGCCAGCATGATCCCAGCAAGTCAGGAAAACTATTTGTTTTCATCTGTGTTTTCTACTTGAGTTTAAGTGGAAGACTGAGGGAAGACATTGTGCTAGGCAGGTGCAAGGTCTACTTAAATCAAAACCTCCACTGGCCAGCTTGATTCAAACATGTTCATACGTCCAACTTCTACTCTTTTTTTTTTTTTTTCCTGCTACTGGAATAGGAGGTATAAGTGGAAACATATTTAGTAGCCCGACAGATTGTATTCCACCTTCAAGGCTGATATGATTTCATAGAAGCCCTCCTTGGGAAGTGTGGCCTGACTGCTTCTCTGAAAACTCTGTATCTGAGTGAGAACTAGAACATAATGCACACTCGCGCTACCACCAGTGACCCAGTCTGCAATCCAGACACACCTGATTTTCAGCCGGTCGTTCTCTGAGTAAAGGCGGAGGACATGTTCCCTCTCCTGGAAGAGGTAGACTTGCATGTCACTCAAAGCCTTTTGCAACTCCGCAATTTCCTCTTCTCGCTGACGGACTTCCCACTGCAGTTTGTGCTAGGTAAAGAGAATGAGGTACTTGAAATGATGCAGAGCACTGGGCAACTCTCAAAGTACAAACTGCTTGCGCCAGCCCCTGAGCCTGTAACTGGAATGTACCAACTGTCAGAGTTAACTTATTGAACTCTTAAAAATTTGACCAGATGAGGGCAGTATTGGAAAATATTTTAATGGGTTTCAATAGGGAGCTCACAGTCCCTGTCGTCATCATGGTCAGTATCCAACACCAGTAAAAAGGCTCGTGCTGAGGGCCTCCAATTCCAATGGTTACACTTCCGCACTGGCAGCCAGAGTGGCGCAGTAAGAGGAGTCTGACTTCAACAAGAAACTAACAAAACCTGTAAAATAGTACCTATTCTTAAAAGCAGTTACTGAAGAATAAACACTGATCTGTATGGCTTAGCAGTAGGAAATTTGTCTAGTTACTATGTTTCATCAGTGTTTGTCTACCTGGAGTGGAAAACTGACAAGCCCTACAGAAGACTGTTCATGTAGGACAGAAGGCACTATTTTGGAACTTCGGACCTCTTTTTCCTATATCTTGAATTAAAGAAGTTTGGATGTCTGAAGGCTTTAAGGCTGCTTCAAGCATGGCCAGTAGACGAGGAAGCACCTCAGTGGCCATTCTGCTCCCAAAGGGTCATTCAGAATTACAAAGATGCCAGCTAGAGAGATATATGCTCTTAAGGCGTATTAGAACACAAATTAAAAATAGCCTCTAAGATTTTTTTTTCCTCTTTAAATACAAAGATTTTTAAGTTTTGGAATTTCTTTTAGGTTTCTACTTATTCGCTGTGTAGTACTCCTGCTACATATAGCCTATGGCCAAGCTTATGAATTCCACTGCAATAAATACTAATTGTATCTGTATATCAAAGCTCATTAAATTTGCACAAAAGCACGCTCGTTCCTCACATTAAGAGGCAAGGAAATTAAACTGGATGCCATCTGAACTGAATATCTAAACTCAGGCTTCAATTTAAAAGTAAAAAGAACAGGAACAACCAGTATGAAAAAAAAAAAAAGCAAGCTATAATAAATTAAGAACAGAAGAATATCGTACAAGCGTGTTTCCCTTTGCTGTGACAGAGGGCAGGCAGCTAGATTTCAAAATCAAAGCTTGAGATCCACTTATTTCTTCCTAGCTCAGTACTCCACTACTACTGGTAACCCTTCAGACCAGGTGTGCTGAGCTCTGAAATGAAGAAAAACATCAACTCTTTGCTAGTCAAGGAGGTTTGTGTAACGATACATGGCCTATCAAAAAAACAAAGATCTTTTCCTAACCTGCTCATCGTATGTTTCTTTGTATCTCTCCAGCCTTTTTACCAAATCCTCATGCTCCTCGTCGAAGTCAGCAATCTTCTTGCGGTAGTATTCCAGCAGCTCCCGGGAAGGGCGGAGGAAGGCCAGGCGCTCGTTGATGGACGGGAGAGGAGTAGAGTCCTCCTGGTTCTGAGGCTGAGAACTAGCGTGTCTGGATGAGACATGGGGCGTTGCCAGCCTGGACAGAAACATTTTCTAATGACATGTGAACCTCAGATAATACAATAAAATGTTAAAAATATATATAAATTAAACCATGAGATTTTTGCTTTTAACACAGACTTGATTTTAAACATTGGCTTGTCTGTGCTCTGGGTATTCACAGGAAATCACAGCATTTAGGGGAACCAAAATGTTCAACAAAAAGAACAGCTGGCAGACTTACTATATTGCGGAGATGGAGCACCTTATGGAAAAGGGAGAAGGACAAAAATGTTAGGGGAGGAAAGTCTGATGGGTTATTTGGGGAGGGTAAACTTGAAAGGAAGAAGAGGCAAGAAAAAGAGGAGAGGAGAGAGCAAAGATCACAAAGTCTTTTGCTTTGGCATTAGCAACAGCAGGCACTATAGGATAAAGAGAAAGACAACCCGTAATAGTTTTTCTGATAACCAGAGAGAAAAACACTTTCTAAAGACTTCTGATTAAAGAGAACAATTTCAGGTTAGCTGATGCACAAGCCCTCATAACTTAACATGTAGGTCTAGGAGTCTATATGCTTTCCCTTATGGCGTTATCCAGAGTTTGTCAACCCTAGACAGTGAAATGGAAAATCCAAAATCACTGAATTTGGTGCTGAGGTAGTAGGAAGAGACTGTGTTGCTATTACATAAACCACGTTAAGTATATGTATGTGCATTTTAAGCAACAGTGACTGCATACAGACATTTAACGTGCTCAAATGAGCATCACATTTTATTATCCATAGCTGCACACAATTCAAAATTCTCTTGAGAAGTGTTTTTTTTTTTAGTTATGTTGAACTGACACACCATCGTTTTACGATACCATCAGTAACAGAATTAAAGCTAAACAGCCTCTTTAGAAAAGATCTACTTAATACTGTAAGAGCTGTCTCCAGAACCTGGTTCTGGAGCCTGAGCTTTGATCAGAGGCCTCTGGCGGGTGACACAGAAGCTGTGGTGACCCTTAGCAAATACCCATCAGGGCTGACAGCAGAACCCAAAAGTGCAACATCCACAGAAACCTTACGTGTGCCAAGCTCCTTAATTCCTGTCATTGTAAGGAAGGGATAATTAAAAGCATCCTGATTATTTTCTGTACGAACTTCCCCAAAAAAGCCGTGTGGAAAAAAAGCTGGACAACAGACACGCTTGAAAAATAACAGCAACAAGGGAAAACAGGTGAATACTTTATTACTGGAGCAAAGGACAGCAGAAGTAGGCAGGCACGAGAGTAGGAAAGCAGAGCAGCGCGGGAGCGGGCACAGCAGCGCCTCGCCTGAGGCAAAGCCCGGTACGGGACACGGAGGGGAAAGGCGGGCGGCAGGGCCCGGGGTAGCGGCCCCTCTACCTTGCGGAGCGCGGCGAGGTGCCGGCACAGCGATCCGCGGCGCTCATGGCGGCCACGCTGAGGGGACGCTGAGGGGACCGGCCGGGAGCCGCCACCGCCTCCCTCACGCGGCCTCAACGGTCGCCTAACGGCCGCCAACCGCCCTCCGCCGCTTGAACCGCCGGCCACCCGCCGCCTCCTCCAATCACGGGCAGCCTTCCACGCGGCGCCGGTCGGCTCCACCAATCAGCGCTGGCGACACGGATGGCCCGCGCAGGAGCCTCTGGGAGTTGTAGTGCGGCGAGGCGAAGGGGGGGCAACCCGCATCGTGACGGGTGCCGGGCACGAAGGAGTCGCAGGGCTCGGTGGTTCAGTTCGTACCTGTGTTTTTTAGATCATCGAGGTGCTTTTTAGCCCCATCCTTCCCCTGTGTGTCTCGCCATAGCCAGCAGCGCTTCTTACAGTTTATGCAATGCAGCGTTTCCTAACCCAGGTACCATGTGTGCTAGGAAAAACCATGCACATTAACAAGATTTTTTTTTCCTAGGCTTACAAAGCTACAAAATTCTATTTCAAATTTCCCCAGTTATTTCCAGGAAGCTACATTTTGCAGGTGAGAAGAATTTCCTCACGTTTCAGTGAACGCGCAATACACACAGGTGATGGTTGATAATTTTCAGGGTGAAGTCTCCAGCACGCGGTCCGTTATTAGCCTTGGTTAGCCGAGCTGCTTTCTCCACTTCACATAAAGCAGTTGGAAATACAATATAAGAGGTTTAAGTCTCCCCTCAGCAGGGGAGTGCTAAATAGTTCCAGATGACCAAGAAGAACAAAGATTGATTTGGGGTCCGCAAGTCACAGCATGCTGCAACGTCTCAGAGGCTAACAATACCCAAACTGGAGAAAGTAACTGAGAAAACATAATATTTGATCTCAAAAAGGAAATCTGCAGAACTAATAAAATGAAAAAAAAAAAAAAAAAGTGCCCCTTACATGTAATTTAGGACTTTTAATCTTTTTACTCTCAGGGAAACCTGCGCTCTTCCCTGCAGTGCCTTCCAGTACTCTCTGCTAACCAAAACACACAAATGAAACAGCCTTGACTAGCTGAGAAGGAAACCAACAAGGGACTAGTTCTCAAAACAAAGTTTTGCACGGATTAGGTGCTTTCTAGCATGCAGTTTTTCCCCCCATACTATTCCTGGCTAAATCGTTGCTTATCTCAGAAATCAGGTATGTTGGTGATTCAGCTCTTGGGAATAGTGACTATACACATACATGCTCTCAGGAGAATCTGAGAAAATTCTGTCAGAAAAAACAGGTACTACCAAAAAAAAAAATGGCAGGAGTATGTAGAAATACAATTTCTAGATGCTGGTGAGGCAACATCTGCACTCCACATGCTTTTGGAGTCATAAAAATACCAGGCATCCATGTCAAGAACCCCTTGCAAAAATATGTAAGGCTTTGCAACAACACAATCTCCACTGGTAAACTCACTCAATGTTTTATAATATCAGTTTGCTGTTCCCTACAACTTTTGCCAAAACTAACCATTTGCATTCAAGCCATTTGTTTCCCATATGCAAAACGCAGGCAACAGGTCTTTAATCTAGCAGAGAAATGATGGAGATAAACGTATTTGTCTGCGTGGAGCACATATTGTGAGCCTCACGGTAACAGGGGGAGGAAATTGCATGTTCTGAGACTGAAACAGTACGCCAGGATCAAGGCTGTGACAAAGCAATAAACAATCGGTTGAGATGTGAGGTAGTGGTGAATGCTGAGATCAGCCTTGGTTAAAAAACAAACAGTATGCACTTCTTTTTTTGAAGGGTGTGTGATAATAGGTAAGTAAAAGCATGCAAGTCCTGAGGTGTGAGTGCTTGACTTGGGAAGGAAAACTCTGCATGGGGTGAGAGTGCAGAGCTGCCTACCTGTAACAAGGAGGTTGGGGGTTGTTTAGGGAGTTCTTCACGTAGCCTTGCTGTTTAGAATTATGGAATAATTAAGGTTGGAAGAGACCTCCAGGATCATTTATCTGGTCCAACTGTCCCCTACCACCAGTGTCACCCACTGACCGTGTCCCCAAGCACCACGTCCAGCCTCTCCTTGAGCACCCCCAGGGACAGTGACTCCACCACCTCCCTGGGCGACCCGTCCCAGTGCCTGGCTGCTCCTTTTGAGGAGAAATCTCCTCATTGCCAGCCTGAACTTATCACTGACGAGGCTTGCGGGGTCTTAATTAAGAAGCACCAGGAGATGCTGCGGGCTGGTGGAGCTGCTAACGGGCACAGGTATGTGTTATGCTTATAGACAAACACACAGATACATGTTACAGATATGTTATGCATGTGGACGTACATATATGTGTTATGCACATGTTAGCACCGGGATATTTAAGCTCAGGGCTGCCCATCCTGGAGCCCCCCTCAGGCCCCAACATGGCGGCCGCCCCCTGCCGCCTCAGGGCGCCCCCTCCCCCCCCCGGCCGCCTGAGGGGGCGTGGCCTGTCGGGAGGGGGCGTGGCCTGCGTGCGGGGGGCGTGGCCAGGCCGTTCCCTGCCGCCGTGCCCAGACAATGGGCCGAGCCGGCCCCTCGGCACCGGAAGCGGATGGCCCAGCTCCCCTCACGCATTCCTCCGCGCCGGAAGTCGGCGATAGCGGCCCCCTCCCTGCCTCCTCCTCCTCCTCCCCGCTCCCCGCAGCCGGTTTCGGTTCGGGCTCTCCCCTCCCGCTCCCCCTCCCCGCCCCCTCGGGGCAGCGGCCGAGCCCCGGGAGCTGAGGGGCGGGCGCGGCGGAGGGACTACTTTTCCGCGCGGAAGCCTACTTTTTCCTCTTCCTCCTCCTTCCGGGTGGGAGTGCCGGCGCACTCCGCGTCACTTCCGGCGGGCTGGAAGGCGACCGAGAGGGGCTGCGGCGGGGGGAGGCGGCCCCGGGGGACGGGGCCACGACGCCGCCGCCGCCGCCTTCGCCCGGCAGGAGCCGCCCCCCCGCCCCGCCTCCGCTGCCCCGCCGCCCGGGGATGCGCCCCGGCCCCCCGCACAGCCCCTGAGGGCCGCCCCCGGCCCCAGCCCCAGGCAGCGGCGCTTCCCCTCCCTTCCCTTCCCTTCCCTTCCCTTCCCTTACCCTCCCCCCCCCCCCAGCCCCAGCCCTCAGCGGCCATGTCGGGGCCCGGCGGCGGGGCGCGCTACGCCGCCGAGTTCGTGCCCCCCCCCGAGTGCCCCGTGTTCGAGCCCAGCTGGGAGGAGTTCAGCGACCCCCTGGGCTTCATCGGCCGCATCCGCGGCCTGGCCGAGAAAACCGGCATCTGCAAGATCCGGCCCCCCAAGGTACCTGCCCGCCGGGCAAGGGGCAGGGCGCGGGGAGCCCCTCGGGCAGCCCCCCCCTCGAGGGGCTTCGTGGCCCTGCCGGGGGGCCTGTGAGGGGCTCCGCCGCCCAGCTCTGTCTGTAGGGTGCTTTGGAGGAGGTGGGGGTGTAGGGCACGGCGGTGCCCCGCGGCTCGGTGCTCTGCTCCCTTTAAAAGGCAAAAAAAAAAAAAAAAAAAAGAAAAAAGCTGCAGCGGTGCTGGGGGAGGAATGAGGCGTTTGCGCTGGGAGGAGGAGGAGGAGGGTGTTTGGTGTAAATGGGTCATTGTTTATAAACACAGCCTTCGAGCTGTTAGTGGAGGTGCGGCCGGCCCGTGGATGCGCAGGATTTGCATGTTTATGCTTGGTAGCATAGAAGGTAAAGCTTGGTATCGCCTCTGCCTCGGTGCACAAGCCATTATTTCACGGTGACTTGCCCTGCGAGCCGGTAAAGCGTTTAGGCAAGAACATCAGGCAACACGGGAGAAGGCAGTCAGAGCCCTTCGTAATTAAAGTACAAACAACCCTAAAATATAGCCATAAAACAGGAGATTGAAAACAGCGAAGGAGAGAGAAAAAGAACGCTGGAAGAAAGAGCAAAGAACAGCTTGTTATGGGGGCTGCTGATTGGATTTCATGATCCTTCCTCTCCTGCCTTCTCCGTGTTGCTGGAACCCGTTTCGTTGCTTTGATGACACGGTGAAAACTTGACCTCCGAGTCAAGTTTAGAAAGGGGCTGCCCCTTCTAAAATAAGCAGAATGGCTTAGGTTGGGAGGCCACGAGAAACCGAGCCAGATGCTGTTCATTGAGAATAACTGGAACTTTCCTCGCCGCTGAACGCAGCCGTGCTGCTTCCCCGGGGTTGCCCAGCCATTTGCGCTGCAGCGTCCTGCTGGAGGCGTGCGGCGGGTTGATTTGCGACCTGCAAGGAGGACTAAATCAGCCAGTGTTTACCATCCTGGCTGATTTGTTATTCTTTGCCGTTATTTGGAGCTGTAAATGTTTTACAGTTGTACTTGGGGCCTTTATTTTCTGCAGCAGCGCAGATAATACGTGCTTAGCGTGGCTTGGCCATCTGGATTGTTGTGTCCTTCCTCTTGTTGTATTTATTGCCCGATGGGCTATCACCATAAATTAAGCTTTCTTAAAAGGGACTAAAGAGCTGAATTGTACTTGTTCTGATGTCAGAGCACAGTTCTGAGAGATGGGGCTGGGAGGCACATGCGATTGAACCAGCGACTGACTGTTCAGAATGGCGTTATTTAGGATTGTGTTTCTGTTAAAGCCCTGGACTCCTGACTGGGAGTTATTATCTCTATTGAAATATGACTGGAGACAAAGGGGAAAAAAGTTAGATGCCTAATAACACCCTTCATTTGGTGTTTGCCGCTGTTGACAGTGAGAATTTTGTGTTGTGTAGGAAATATAAAACTTCATTTCTTTTAAGTAAATAAATGCCAACGAGCAACAGGATCTCTCATACGTGAGCTCAGTATGAGGTAGGTCATACTGAAATGCTTTACGCCTTATTTTCTTTTTAACTTTGTGAGGATCTCTTCCCGCAGAATTTTCGTTAGATGAAAGAACAATATTTTAAAAACATGATAATGGCATAAAAGTAGAAGATGATATTACAAATTGTAGTGAAACTCGTTTACTAGTAGGAGCTTGTTTATTCAAGTGATTACTAGGGCTTTTGTGCGTTTTTTTGGCGAAGTTTCTTTACGCATTGAAACGTCTTTCTGTCTTTTTAGGACTGGCAGCCTCCATTTGCCTGTGAAGTACAAAGTTTTCGTTTCACTCCACGAATTCAGCGCCTGAATGAGCTGGAGGTGAGCTTTTCCACTGTTGATACAATTTTGTGTTTGCGCTGAAAGCTGTAGGTCTCTTTGCTCGAGATTTGCATCTTGGCAGGTTTCTGGATGGAGAGACT